ATATCTAATTTAACCTTCACAACAACCTTGGCAGGTAGGTGTTTGTAGTATCCTCATTTTATAGATGAGGAAACTGAGGCATAAGTGATTAAGTGACTTGCCCAGGTTCACAGATATTAAGTGAGTGAAGCAAAATTTGAATTCAGGTATTCTTGACTCCAAGTTCAATGCTCTATCTGTTCAATATACTGAAAGGCTACTGACCCCCTGACCCACTTTGGTTTTAGAAGTGTATGAGAGGAATGTACCAGATATACAGATATAAAGATATGAGAGAAGAGGATGAGAAGATATTTTAAAATCAGTTTGCTGTTATCTCTGTTATCAGATGCTTGAGCTCTCCAATGATTACATTCCTTATCCCAGAACAATATACTTTTACACTGGAATGAAATCATTTTAGAGATTTTGCCCTACTACTGATCTACACTTCATCCTACTGGAAAATATCATCAGGGAATTTCCTCTCTATTTACAGTTTCAAAGTGCTTGCTATTGGCTTCCTGAACAAGTGGCTGTATAGTAGTAGCATCAGTAGTATAAAGGGGATAGATCATATAGCTAGTATTGATAAACTGATATCTCCTCTTACAAGAGTTCCTTTATAACCTCCTATCTTTTCTCTTCCTTCCTCCCCACATTTTTTCAATATTTTTCCCCAATTCTCCATTACTCTCTGACCATCAATGACTGGAACCTATGGGCAGGTGTGTTAGAGGTAGGAGTGGAGTTAAGTTTTATGTGTATACGTACTAGCACATGTTTAATTCAATTGAATCAAATAAGAATTTATTAAACATCTATTGTGTTGAAAATGCTGCAAACAATAAAAGTCAAACAGTCCTGACTCTTAAGGCAAGTACATTCTACCTAGAGGATACAGCATGTAGGCAGATACTATCTCACTTAATATCTCACCTACTGGAAACTTACTTATCCAGCAACTTCACCTACCTAGAACAAAGCCCATATTAATAAATACATAAACAAAATCTCTGAGTACCCAAAACAGTTGCCACGAAATCATTGCACCACAGCTCATGCTCATTAATTAGAAGTATGCTTCAGGCTCTTGACCCCAGTCGGTTTCCCATTTACATGATGCTATGAACCTTGATTGTCCAGTATTCTTTCTACTATATCACACTGCTTTTCAACACATCTGTATGTATTTTAAATATAACTGAGAACTATATCACACTGCTTTTCAACACATCTGTATGTATTTTAAATATAACTGAGAACTGGAGCAGAAATTCTTAGCATTGACTTTTCCAGTGTTTATATCCAGAAGAAAGCTTTATGGCTTGCATTCCTAGGAATATTTGGGAAATGCAAATTTTGAAACTGAGAGAAATGGCCTTATACTTTTCATCATAAAATCATAAAATCATAGAATTTAAAAGTTGGATGGGTCTTCAGAAATCATCACTGTTCAAACCATACCTGAATAAAAATCTCTTACAAATATTCAGCCTTTGTTTAAAGATCTCCAGTGAGAACAAAGTCAGTATCTCCAAAGGATGTCCATTTCACTTTTGGAAAGCTTTATTTGTTAGGCAGTCTTTGCTTTTATCAAGCCTAGATATGCCTCTCTTCAACTTCTACCCAAGGTTCCTAATTTGCAGTAATCTGCCTTTAGGTCCTTACAACTCAGATCTCTTACCAGTTTATTATGGACAGATATTCTCAAGGCTAAAATCACTCCTTATATTAAGTTAGGCCATGAGGGAGGCATGTTTAATTTGGCTGGTGAATAGGATGCCAGTCATACTGCAGTACATCAAGTGGTAGTTCTATGTATCCTTTAGCATGGACTCTAGAGTGGCTCAGGAATAAGATAGAATAGAGTCTACTTGGTACTGAATCAATCATTTACAGTGATTTTTAGCTAGGGTTTTACTTTAAATTGCAGTTGTATGAGAAATTCTAGAAAGTATATAGTACTACTAACTCAAATCAGTCTTTCTAACTCATCTATATCTTACAACATATAGTCTCACATAAACAGATTAATTTTGAAATAACAAGAATTCATTTAAAATAAAGATTAAAACCAGTCTTACAGTAAAGAATAATTACATTTAAAGTTAAAGTACATTTTGGTTCTTAGAACAAAAACAAATAACACTAGAAAATGCATCTGTAATGCATGATTTTACATTTAACTCTGAAGCTCTGATGAAATCTGTAATACTGTATTCAGTTATAGGGGGCAATGTTCAGGAGGGAAATGCACTAACAATTAGAATACATTAATAATAAATACACTGTTGCCCATACCCACTCACCATGCACCTATTTACTGACCTTTGGAAGACCCACAGACTTAATTCTTTGGAGTGCTATTCCATGACTTATAGTTCTACAACATCTTTGGAAAATTGATGGTAAAAAGATGGCCTTTTGTTTCATGGAGACAATGGGGGTCATTAATAACATTCTGCAATTTCCCAATGATGGTATAGTCCTTCAATCCATTCTCTTCTCCCTATTTAATAATTCTGAGTGAGTTCATTATCCATCTTTAATGTACATCCAAGATATCTGTACTAATGGACCATGTCAACGGGTTTCCTGTCCAATTGCATATCATAAATCTCTACAAGATGCATTCTTCATCTGTTTGGTTTTCCCTTTGTAATCATGAATAGGCTACAACAAATTACCAATGTAGAATTATGCAAAATAAGTGACATAAATATTATCAAAGAGAGATATGACTGGAAAAAGAGGTGGGCAAGTTACACGACTACATTAAGAGAGCAATGATGGACAGTCCATGCACTGCAGTGGTATTCATGCAATACTAGAACACTGGGCAAACGCTCTGTGGAAGACTGACAAGAGGACATGGACAAGAAACATATAAGAAGAAGAGAGCTTGGACGAGATGACAAATATGCTTCTGTAGGAGTTACACACATTCATACCCAACAAATGGGCAGCCAGACTTTCCCTGAAGAACTCCAAAGATGGAACTCATGTCCTTTTAGGACAATCGGTTCCATATATGGGCTGATCTAATTGTTAGGAAGTCCCTCGCTCTCTCTGCTCCCCTGCCCCAAAATCAAACCTGTAATTTCTACCTATTGGTTTTGATTTTGTACTCTGGAGTCAAACAGAGTAAATCAAATTCCTCTTCTTCATAGCTGCCCTTCAAATCCTTGGATGCAGATACTGTGTTCCTTTCTCTTCTATATAGGATGAACTTCTTAATTTCCTCTAACTAGTCCTCATAGGTCATGGACTCACCCTTCATCATCCTGGTTGTCCTCCTTTAGATGCTCTTTGGCTTCTCAATGTCCTTCCTAACAGCGGCACCCCAAAGCTAACATAATACTCAAGATGTGTTCTGACAGAAGCAGAGTACACAGGGCTTATCTCCTCAGTCCTGGAAAATATTTTGATTTATTTTGGTTGCCCTTAGAGGACAAAATTAGGAATAAGAATGTTTTCCCTCAAATCTGGACAAATCTGATTCCCTGAACTTATGTCTGAACACTGGGCTTTTGACTCCACAACTTTTAACTTTTTTTTTTAAGGCAATTGGGGTTAAGTGACTTGCCCAGGGTCACACAGCTAGCAAGTGTCAAGTATTTGGTCTGAGACTGGATTTGAACTCATGTCCTCCTGACTTCAGGGCTGGTGCTTTATCCACTGCGATACCTACCTGCCCCAACTTTTAACTCTTTATGCATGTTATCCTTTATATCATGCTGCATCCTTGTGCCATGCTGCTACCACTCACATCAGCTCTTTCTTGATGCCCTGGCTCTGTGAGGTATATCTCAAGGAGATTTCTCATGTCTATACTGCCTATGCTCTCTCTCAACCCCATTCTGAGCATTTCCCAATTCCCTTCTACTATTCTGACATATTCTTGTGTGTGTGTGTGTATTTTACAGTTTTGATCATGATATCTGTAGCTTCTCAGCATAGGAGGAAATGATCTGTATCTATTGTTTCAGAGGTAGATTGGAGGTAGTAGAGACAACGAAATTGCCTTCTAAGAAAGGATAGGTAGGGCAGAAAGCGGAACATTCTGTTCTACCATCAAATTAAAATGTAGGAGACTTTTTCCCTTGATCCTTTACCCTAACCCAAAACTCAAGTTGAATACTTTGGGAGGGAATAGGGAGAGGGCTGAGTGTGGGTACCAGGTTACCAAGATATGGTACTTACCTTATTCAGTGTATTCAGTTCAATTAAAATATATTCAATTATATTTTAATGGGATTTCCCCCAACAAAACCAGGTAGCCCACACTTACAAAGAGACTATTTTGTAAGGAAATAATTAATTTGTAAGCTAGATACTTAGAACTTAGAATAAATTTTCCCATAGAAACAATGTTTCACATTGTAGTTTGGTTCCTAGGCTAGACTACAAAAGTCTACTTATGCCTGAGGTATATTACTAAAAGGATTATTATCTATATATTATTATATCTATATCTATATCTATATATAATATCCATAGATATAAAGATATTATATATAATATAGATATACTTACTTATACTATATATAATATGGATATGCTTATCTATATTATATATAATATAGATATACTTATCTATACTATATATTATATAATATATTATATAAAATATAGGTCTATATCTATATATTATAACTTTTTTCTATAGGAAAACTAATTCTATCATTTTGGGATGATTTGACATGTCTTTCCCCCTACCAACCAAACTCTCTATGTTTCACCGCATAGCCTCTAACAGCAATGGCTTTGGGCAGTTCTGCTTCAGAAAAGGTGCCTCTCTATATTTACTGAAAGAATATATCTCTCAAAAAAATCAAAGAATACATCTCTCAGACTCAGTTACTCCTTTGATTATCTGAACTAGGCAACAATGGAAAGCTGCTTTCCACCGAGGCTTCAGGTTATTCAAAGAACTTGCCTTTATATGGTTCTTAGATTCTTCCTCAAAACATTTTATTATGATTTTAAGAGTTATTTTACCATTATTTCACACTTACCTCTAAAAGCACTGATATCCCCATAATGTACTTGTAGCACAAAATATTTACTTCCCATTGCTCCTCCAACTCTGAATCCAACACCTTAAAATTTAAAGAAAAGTTTATAATTGAGAAATGTCAAAATCAGAAATGAAACTGTAATCATAAATCTCAGGTTACTAATTTACAAAATCAAAAGGGCAAGATTTTAAATAAGGTAAAACATTTGGAATTTTGTCTGCCTGCCACAAAAAAAAAATCAGAATAAAAAACAAGTTAGGGATTTCTGTGCATATATGTGTGTGCAAAGTTGACAATCATTAAATGTCTTCAACCTATAGAAATTGTATTCAGTGTTAGAATTATAATCACAGTCATTTCAAGCACTCAGTTTACTCATTCTGGAAAAACTGCTTCCTTTAATAAACATAAAACAGACCGATTGTACAATCCCATTTCCCTCACTTGCTTGTGATATACAATCACATTCGTTTCTTGATTAAATGCTTAATGTACATATTTTTTTCAGTGACCCTTATAGAAAATAGCATCAAAGAAGAGGTCATTCATGGAAATTATTATTCTCCTAGCAAAGGCTATTCGATGCAGTGTGTAATTGGATTATACTGAAACCCTAAAGGATGCAATGAATTACATCTAACTCCCTTACCATTCACAACTATTGTTGGGGAAGCATGAATAGGCATCTAGCAAGAGCAATGCCTGGAAGCAGAACAAACAGTTCTTCAAACTATTTTGCTAGTGTATCTTACTAGATTGGTTAGTATCTGTGACAAAGCTCTGAAACAGTGTTAAACCTTTGAGGATGAAATCTTTTTTTTAATCATCTGGAAACAAAGATAATAAAAAAAAAAGCCAAGTAATTCATTTATACATTAGAAGCTATGAACAGTTTAGAAGTAAAGCAAGAAAAAGCTTGCTCAGGGTTTGGTATCATATTAAATACCTTAGTTCCTATATCATATTATCTCTGTGATGAAGCAGCTATTTTCTTGACTCAAAATACTCTTAGTTCAAGAATGCTTCTGCTGGGAAGACCCAAAGGTGGCCATTCTCTACTTCTATCTAAACTGTTACATGGGCAAGCCACCCAGAAATAGGTAGGAAAATGGGTGATTAACTCAATTAAATCTTCCCAGTATAGTATCCCTTCTGGGCTGTTTCTCTAACTTTCACCTACTCTTGTAGGTAGGTATGTGGGTTCCAGGAGACTGGTTGCTGCTTCAAGTTTAAGGTATAACTTATGACATTCTTTTAGTACTCTAACTCATAAGCCCCGACTGATGTATTTCCCATTAACAAGTGACTCATAGACACAATTACCTTTTAGGTAAGACATTTACTATAATGGCATAGAAATAATAGTAGTTACAAAGCAATGCTTGTAACTATAAAGTTAGGGCACACTTTCCCACAAATATACTCAATTTCCATGAAAGGAATGGGCTCCAATCTAGAGTATGGTGTTAGTGAGGCATACATGTTGGATACATGCATTGCAAAGGCAACTCACAACTCCTGGTACTATACTGCATGAAAGCCCCTGCCCTTTTCTTAAGGTCATCATTCAGCCTCCCTTGAGCACAGCATCCATCCAGGATCCCAACATCTGTTCCTCTTTGCAGCTTGACTCTAGACTGTCAAGGCTAGCTCCTTGAAGCTGCTGCCTTCCTTGAGTGACTAACTCTCTGTAGCAGTGCCTGTATGGCATGTGTCTTTCTTCTATACTGGATAAAACATTTCGTACTAATTGAATAGTTCCTTTCAAAGCTACCCAGCCAAATGGGGGGAATGGGAAAAGAAGAGCAATTCTTACAAAATCTTATTTAATAGGTCGCTCCCTGCTTGCAATGTCTCCAATTTTCAACTTCCTGGATTGAGTAGCTCCCTCTGGGGAAGTTGCTACTAGATCCCGTAGCTGATGGGAAAGCTGGGGGAGAGGGTTGGGGAGAGATTCCCTCCTCCCCCTCTTGCAGGAGCCAAACTTCACAACTGTTTCAAGTGTTTGAAGATCAAAGCCCCAGGGGATTCAGCTAATTTATTTGCTCAGCCAATCACATCATTTTCTTTAATTCATCACAGGAAAGTTTTCTTATACCATCACATTTTATACATCATAAGTGTATATTTGCATCTCTACAGTGAGTTTAATACCTCATTAATACATTGTGACTACATTATAGGTCTTCTGTGACTAAATTGTGTGTATGTGGGGGAATCTTAGTCTCCCTCCCTTATTCAAGTACAAATAAGGCCACAGGGGTTACTTTCAGCTCAGAACTGCTAAGTAGAACACTGGAGAAATTACTAAATGATCAATATTAGAAAACCCTAAATAAAGATTTTTGGGTAAACTTAAAAATGAAAAGATCAAAAGGCATCTTCAACGTACCTTTAGGGAGTCTGGTGGGGGGAGCATTCCTTGCCCAGGCATATAAAATATTGACTTTGTCTGAGCAGGTTCCTTCATCACAATCCCTGAAACAAAGAAACGATAAGGAAAAAAATGAGCGTTAAATCAATAAAAACATGAATTTCTCTAAATTCCAACCATCTGAGGAAAAATGGATTAAGTATGAGGTAGAACACATCACCTAACCTGCAACTGCCTAACTTACCTTGAAGACTGTGACTTCCATTCAGTATTCAAGATTTCAAAATTACTTTTGAAAAATCTTGTCAGAGAATTATACTAACACAGTACAACGTTACTTAATGAGAATTTTGAGGCTGAAGATAAAATAATCGAAGCCTGCATGTCTACTTATATTCTATGCCTTTGAATTTATTATAAAATGCTAGAAAGCTGAAGAAAAATAGAATTTGTGATGAGATTATATACAGAAAATATTACATGACAAACTATGTAAACAGTTAACTATGTAATAGTTACTAGTGGGTGAATAAAAACCACCTTTCTGGGAAGTGACTCTAGGTACAAGCAAACAATATATTAAAAAGAAAACCAGAGGGATTTTTTTTGATGGTAAGCAGTCTCAGCATGATAAGAAAAATGCAAAAAAAAAAAAGGGGAAAAAAGCCTAAAATGTTTTAGTTTGAGAAAAGATGGGCACTAGAAGAGATCTTGCTTGTCAAGTCTGATATAACTTCGTGTCCCAGAGAATACCTAATCATAGGAACTCGCCTCCAGTAGGCAGCAAAGAGATATTTATTGACTGAAAAAAAAATGAATCTGCATCACAAGTACAAAGGAGAATGTAATTCAGCAGTTTACTTGGTCTGAGCCAGGAGAAGAAGCTAAGGAGAAGAATTTCAGACTGAGAGATTGCTGTAAAATTTGTCTTCAAAGTGGAATAAAGTCGAGTGCTGTAACTACTCTATGTGCCTGTAAACACCATCCTGTGCATAATTCATACCTACATATATCCTCATTTCTATAGTAACAACATTTTTCTTGCACTCACAAATAGGTAAAGATACTTGATTCAGGAACATATTCATTCTCATCATCACAAATTCTAGGGAAATGCAGGGGTATATTTAGATACTTCTTCATTAATTACTGAATTGCAATATCTCTCTTAGGCTCTGAGCCCTTACCACAGTTCATTAAACATTATTTATTTAATAAGCTGGAGAAAACTATTTCCCCACAAGTAGTTGCCTCACATCTCTCTATATGTCAAAATCCCCAATCTCACAGTATCAAATGAATATCAAAGTTACTGGCTGTGCAAATTTAATCAATAATAAAACAAAAGCATAAATAATTATTTAAATGTACTAGTCATGAGAAAGATCACATCCAGAATAATTTTTAACCATCACTCTACTTGCAAATGACTTCTCTTTGTTTCTGGAAATACAATGTCAACATTCTGTTCACTTTAGATACTGATTAAAACCTCTCAAGAATTCTCTTCATATTTCTCCCCAAGATAACAGTTTAATTCAGTCTCTCAGGAAATAATTTAGTTTAGTCCTTTTTCTTTGTCATCTCTTCAGCCATCATAGGTAACAATCTCTCCAGAATGCAAGTAAACTACCAGTTCTCCCAGACTCTTTATAGAATTCCTTTTAGACTTTTTCATAAAAAATGTTAGAATAATTCTTTATCATTCTTCCTCTCTGTCTTCTTCCATTTTCTCTCAAACCATCCCATTTACTCTCTCTTCTTAGTCCATCAGATACCAATGGTTGAATCCTCAACATTCTCCCTGGGCTCTCAAAGCTCTAGGGACAATAACTAGAGCTTCCTTAGGAGAAGGAACGGCAACTGAGAAACAGAAAGATACGGGCTGAGAATATTGCTGTCTTGAGGCATTCTAAGGGAGGGAGGTTATGGTTGGCAAAGGGGAAGGGCTGGTCATAACCACAGCAAATTATCCCAAGTCCTAGTAGTGAATATGAAGACAGAAAACCAATTTTGCTCTCCTCTGTACATCTCTTATTAAATCAACAAACACTGCCATAGGGAAACAAAACAAAACATTTTGAACTGAAAATTTGTAAATTAAGACAGAATGTTTATCAGTTTAATTTGATTTCTGAGCAACTAAAGCCAAGAGATTTAGAATTCATTTCTAGTTTTGACACTGTAAGGAGTCTATGAATATCTGAATGTAGATTTACCACATAGTCACTTAGGCAACAGGGAATTATGGAGTATGTGGAACAGGAGGTATGATATCATTTGCATGTTTCACCCCCACTTTCATAATTTAGTGCTTAAAAATTGAAGTTGATTTCTAGAATTGATCTTCCCAGTAGGTGAAGTAGTATCTGTAAGTATGTTAGCTACTGGAGGCAAGAAGCCTAATAAATTCATTCATTTAGGGGTCTCGTTTAGGTGGATTGCTTCTCCAGAACCCTAAGTGCTGCTCTCATAACCTTTAGGTCAATCCATTCTTTCTTTATTCTGCAGATATGAATCTTTCTCTTCCTTCAAAGCCTATCTTGTGCCACCTTCTCCATGATGCTTTCCTGGATCCTGCCAGATAAAAGTAATCTCTTCTTCCTAAATTTTTCCATAAGAACTTTGTCTAAGTATGTTCTTTATACTTATTTATATATGTGCTATACCAATTATCTACCCCACTACCTGATAGAATGTAAGCTCTCACTGAGTACAGGGACTGCATTATTTTTCCTTTCTTAGCGCTTTATACAAAAGTAGCTAATAAACTATCTTTGAATTGAATATTGCTATGTATCCTTTTGGGGATTTTTTTATTTTATTTTTACATAATCCATTTTATTTAGTCATTAATAAATTCATACTAGTAGAGAGGTATAATCATACTGGAGAAAGGTGAACTCATATGGCATTCATTCAGTAATGTGAGAACCCTGTTTTACTTTTATTTCATTTTTTTATTGATCTGAATCTGGGTGGAATGCAGAAATTTATGACTGTGTAATTTGCATATCCTACCCCACTTTTATCAGAATGCTCCCTTCTTTCACCTAAGTAAAAGTGGGCTATAACTTGGTTTAGGAATAGTTTAATCAGGTGAACAGATTCTAAGTGAAATTTTTTTTAACAATACTTGTCACCAAGAAACTTATGGCATTAACTTTTTCCATCTTGAAATAAAAATAAGTATGTGCATGAAATTTACAAGAAAATGGGGATGACTTAATAGAAATGAGACAGTAGACTAAAAGAAATGTACTTGACTCTCTTTTCTTCATTCCTTCCAGGCTGTACTCCTGTCTCTTGGACTTCTCTACACTCAACAGAAACATTCCATCCTTGGATTTCTCACACTGGAAGTACCTACCAGAAGTCCTTGTGTCCCTTCTGATTGTTTGCCTCCCAGTCTTCATTCCTCTCCATACTATACTCTTGACTCGGGAACTCTTGATTTTTCAGACTTTCCTACCATACCACAAACACCTCTTCATCCTGGAAATTCACTCTATCCCCAGACTTCTTGCACTGGAGATACCCTCATATTGGAAGTAGCTTCTTTCTTTGATTGGCTTTTTCCTCCCAGAACCTCCATTTTTTAAGGGAAAAGCTCAGGCCAGCCATATTGTTCTTCTTCTACAACCCACACTCCTGAACTTTGCCTCTACATGTGTGCTTTCCTCCCCATGCCTTTCTCAGGGACCTTTTATGTGTCATCTTCCCTTTTTAAAATGTAAGCTCCTTGAGGGCAGGGACTGTCTATAGTTCTGCTTGTATTTGTATGCCTAGCACTTAGCACAGCATCTGGCATGAAGCAGGTACTTGTTGATTTGACTTGATTTTCTAATTTCCCTTATCTTATTTTCATGAGGATTCATGTTTATGGGGAAAGTCAGTGTATGTGATAGAAACAGATGTTTATGGTAAGGATAGAGACATAAGCATTATCCTTGTAAAAATCTTTATTTGTAACATAATTAATTTATAATCATTTATAATGTTAATTGTCCCATTAAATGTAAACCTGATATAGTATACAGCCTCAAAGATTTATAATCTGTTAAGTACCAACTATTTATTTCACCAAATAATTTTATTTGTCCTAACTTTACCAAAAGAATGACTGTAAAATTAATTTATTTAAATAGTCAGCTTTTCTGAGTGCTTTTAAAAGATGATTATATCTATACAATTTCTATTTGCATATCACTTGTCATATAACCTTCATATTAAAATGATATATTCTCCCAGAAATAGTTAAGTATGCAACCCACCTATCCCATGTGGACGTTTCTGAAACCTGCTTCCAGGTATGTGTAAGGGAGGACCCTGCTTGTAAAGGTATTCTTTCCTGTCTGCTTGCTGTGTGGCAAAAAAATAGGCTTTTTGGTTGGCTGCGAAGTCAGAACGGAATGTGCATACAAAAGGCTCCAATGACATATACAACCTTTTCCCTTTTTCCTGGCGTTAAGCAAAGCAATAATTGCAGTAAGTCTCTGGGTGAGGAGAGTGTCAGCAATCCATTCTTCCCACGCAGGCTGACATGAAGCTATGAACACATGGCATGATCGTTTGTCTTTGTCTTTTGTGTTTTTATTTTTTTTTCTTGTTCTTAGGTGAATGGACGTTAAAGATGGAAAAGACTAGGTCACAACTTTGCAAGCTGTAAGAAGGGCAGAAGAGCATCAGAGGCTCTGGAACTGGAATCCATGTCAGGGTTTCCCCGCAGCCAAGGCTTAGTAAAGAGCTCCCACCAGAGCTCCAAGAAGCAACCTGGCAGCTGAGATCACAAGTGATGAAACAACTTATCCATGACTATATTGTATTTTGAAGTGGACTTGGTGGAGTGAATACTTTGTTGCAACTACTTTAAGTTTGAGCCCATTCTCTGAGGTGGTAGAGTAGAAAGTGTACCCCTGGTTCGAGGGAGAGGTGTTGGTACTTCTGTCTTTGCTATATATTCTCAGCAAATGTAAGTTCATAAAAAGTTAATTTGTGTTAATTTGGTCAAATTGATATGAGGTGCTAATTACTGAGTCAATTAGTAATACAGGGGAAATATTGACGGTAACTGTTGCTTGATATTAGAGAGAATAGAATGGAA